GCTGGCATGTGGTGCTGGGAGATTGAACCGTGGTCCCTGTGCTTTGCTAAGCTTGTTCTAAGTAGGTGCTTTAGACCACTGAGCCATCTCACCAGACCAGCCTGGGCAATTTAGAGACTTAGCAACCTAGTCTTAGATTTAAAAAATAAAAACTAGGGATTTTGAAGGCCCTGGTTCAATCCCCAGAACTAAAGAAAAAAAAGAAAGGGAAAGAGGGAAGGAGGCAGAAAGGAAGGAAGAGAGGGAGTAAGGGAGGGAAGGGGGCTGGCCAGTAGGCCAGCCAGCCTACGTCTGGAAACAGTTCAGTGGTAGAGTATGTGCTTTATTAGCATCTGAGAGGTCCTCGGTTCAATCTCAAGAGCCACCTAAGATAAAGGGAAAAAGGAACCTCAAAGAACAGTTATTTGCATCTCTTTATACTAGTAACTACATTATTTAGAATCACAAAATAAACTTTTACAAATCACCCATTAAATTTGACATCTACTGAGCAACAATGCTAGAATTTCAACTATTCTGGCAACACCCTGGTAAAATAATGTTAAATTTGCAACATTCTCATACATGTCTTAAGCACTGACTCACCAGATGGTTGGTCTTGATTCATATTTAACTTGGGCTCATTTCTCAATTGTGAATCTGATTCTGGTTTCCCTTTCAAAGAAGGAAAGAATTTCATCATCAGGTCTGATGTGGGAGGAGGACTTGTGCTCCTATTAGACTTGCTCAGGCCTTCTCCCTTCTTGACTGGTGCAATTTTCCTTTTTATTGTTTTGTCGAGGACACAGATATCACTGTCAGGGCAGCCTGTCTGGGGCATCCTGTAAAAAGCTTCATCCCCAAGATTAACATCATGTTTACATGACTTCTCTTCAAGGTCAGTCCAAGATCTTTCATCATCAAAGTCAATTTGACTAACATTTAGCACCAAGGGTCTTCTTGAAGGTTCAGACACTTTTGATTGCATGCTTTCTGTTACAACACACTCATCACTGCTATAATCTTTATCAGATAAATCCAGGTCAACATCTCTCCTTTTATCTTCTTGAGCCCTGGTGTCCCTAAAAGGTCCCTTGCCATCACAGATCTGTGGTCTGTCCTCTCTGTTGCTGAAACTTCCCTCTCTGTCCTCTGTGGACGGCTTTATGGTAACATCAAGCCGCTCATCAGAGTCAATGCTGTCACTGCTCGTAACACTTTCATCATCACTCACATTCCATGGCTTTTGACCACTAGAATAGCTTCTTTGCAAGGTGTTGCCACTAACTTTGCAAGACAGTTCCTTCAATCCATCAGGTAAGGATGGAGAGCCAAGTGGCATGGCTGTGACCTCACACTCACTCTTATTTTCACAGGCAGGGCTGGGGCCTGGATCCTCACTACAGTTACTCTCAGTCCTGAGATCCTCTGGACATGTCTTCTGCTGCACAGCTTTGACAGGGGTTGAGGACATCCGGTGATCTTTGCAGCTCTGCTGATCTCTTTCTAAGATTTTCAGTACAAATGAAGAATTACTAGAAAATGAAATTTCATCAGCAGCTTTTTCTAAAAATAAAAATTCATCTAATTCCCAATTTTCTTTTTCCTTTTCTTGTTCCCAATTTTCTAATTTTTTCTGAAGAGAAATATCAAGAGAAGAGCCCAACTCTTTTGCAGCCTCACTTGTGACACTCTTAGAAGCCATGCAGCTGACAAGTCCTGTTGAAAGTGGTGGTCTGTCTTTCCCCTGTGTCTTATTCCATACTCTGGAACTAGCATCACAGGGCTTTGTACACTCAGGTACATTTTCTTTGTTACAGTCAACTTTTTTTCCTAACTTGGTCTGCTCTCTAAACTGTCCATTACATTTCTTCTCTGTCTGTATTTTTGATCCTGATGGAGAGATGCTTTTCCTATTACTGTTCTTAGGCACTTTCGGCTTCTGACTGTGTGTTATAGAACCAGTCGTGGTTCTAGCTTTATTCTCTCTTTTAACAGGAGGGTGCTCTGAAAACAGTTCTTTATTTATAAGTGCAATTTTCCGCTGGAATTGCTGTCTGTTGACTTTAAATAGAGGTTGATCCTCTGAAGCATTCTGGTTAGTCCCTAATTTACTTTCTTTCCCTTTTTGAACCTTAGATTTAGTATTAGTAAACCTAGCTAAACCTTCTCCCCTTTTTAAGAATGGCTGCTTGGGTTTTGCTTTCCATTGTCCCTCTGCTTCCTAAAATAAAAAAACAATACTTGAATTAATTCTGATGTATCACTGTAATCGCAACATTTTTCCCCCCTGTGGTACCAGAGATTGCACTCAGGACCCTGTGTTTGTCAGGTAGGCACTTATTCTACTGAGTTATCTCCCCAGTCCCTCTCAACATTATTTTTATTTTTTATTTATTTATTTTTTTAATTTTAAAT